AGGTCACTCCTGAGGCGTCTTCTTTCCATAGAGAAGAGATCTAACGCTTCAAGCCTTTCTTCATATGGCTTGCACCTCATGTCCGAGACCATTCGGGTGGCTAACCCCTGAACCTTCTCGATGCACTGAATGTCTTTCTGCAGGTAGGGTGCCCAGGCCTGGACACAGTATTCTAGGTGGGTCTCACCAGTGCCTTATACAGTGGGATAAAGACTTCCGCCTTTCGATTGCTCAATGTATTTCTCAACTGGAATAGCCCTTTCGCTGCAGCTTTGCATTGGTTGCCTGGCCTGTAATGCTTGGAGACTACTATCCCTATATCCTTCGTTTGGGCTACGCGTGGTAGTTCGGTGGTTTCCGCCTCCGCGCTTACTCTAACTGGACCGACGTGAGTGTTAAATATGTGACACTTTGACGGGTTTAGGTCTAGGTCTCACATCTGAGTCCAACGGATAACCTTTGTTAGGTCTTCCTGCAGTTGGTCTCGCGAGCCATACGGTCATAGGGTCAGGTCAGGCCAAGCTGCACAGGACTGAATACGGCCCCAGCAAATGGNAAATGGAGCGTCCAGAATCCCTTCCATGGTATGCTCACTACACGAGAATCCAGCTGTGCTGAAATATAATTGAGAACTAGGATCTCATCTCACCAAATTGACGTGAGCCTTCCATTATTTGCCACAAAGAGGAACGGTATCCTTGACCTCTACCTATCCAAACTGTTCTAGATGGGAATATCGCCACCCATGTCTCATCAAGTGCTACCTCAACGGAGTGCACTGTCCAATGGTCGAATCTGGTTCCAACTGTCGACTATTCTGTTTAAAAGGTGCTTACGCGTAATAAGCCGAAACCTCTGTTTCGTGAGCTTAAGTTCATACCACTGTAGTGACTTTGCTTTTTCGCCCGTTTTTTACGTCACGTTCTTGTTTTACTGAACTTTGACGCGCGTTCCTTCCACACAGTTCCACCTGTGTCGTTCAGCGCAGCGTGAGACGCTACTGTATTTTACATTGAAATACAGTCTTTGGTTCAAGTCTCACAGTCTGCCTCCGATTTCGTAAAATTGGGTTGTTCAGTTCGCCTTGTGGTGTTGAACAATCACTGAGACGTATGGGGAGTGTCTGAGGGTGAGAGGCATCATATCGTTTGGGACAAAACAATCAGGGTAGCATGTGGACGTAGCTGATGCTATCTAAAACAACTGGTGAGCCCGTTTTTTCTATTTAAATTCAAGGATCACCCGTGAATCCACCCCGGAACCCCGTTTTATTGATTTGATCGCTTATCTTGGTATATTAGCACATCTTGCCCTTTTATCGCTTTTATTCGTTGTGTGAAAAATAACATGAATCTCTATCACATGTTAGACACAACTTCCATCCCCCAGCAGACTCCATCATGGCCGGGGTCGTTCCTGTCTCTCTGATTTCGCTACTTACAGCTCTCTTTTTGTTCCGGCTCCTCAAAGATGAATTTGAGAATGTCGGTATTATAACCGCTCATCTTGAGACGAATTCGACCGTAAGCAAGCTCCTCATGATATGGCCTGGAAAACGAAAGACATCAACTTGAGTATTCAGTTCTAAAAGAGGCCTTTGTCAAAAGGACCTCACCCNCCTCACCCTCTGATGTCCAGCGCGTACAGCGTCTTTTTAAAGACTCGGGGATGGTAACCCATACGCGTTGCTGAACGAGATACGGAAATCTATAAGATCATCTTATATCCGTGCGCGATCCTCAGAGACCTGTGGATGCAACGACTACCCTCGGACAAAAAAAATCAGTTGTGGCGTCCGCCCGCAAATCCACCCTGACGGTTGCGACGTTCACTGCCGAAGTAGTCATGTTTTGTCCCGTCCCTAGGTGTCCGTTGTAGCCAAGCCTCAAGTGCCCACGGATATAAGCACTCTTAGCACGGTTTCCGCGTGAAGTCCGTAGCCCTCAGGTGCAGAACAAAACGGAGAAGTTCTTGGGAAAGATGTATCCAGTCCTCGACTGTCTATCTAGCATTGACCATGAGAAACGTAACTGTGGTGATCCTAGCTTACGGGATGACGCAAAACTCGAGGGACACGTTACAGTTTCAGGATAACTGTGATGAGTCAAGATTTCCAGATGACACCAGCTAAGCGCCTACGCGTTACAGCCTCTGGGCAAGGAACCACAAGAGGATTGTTCCGAACAATCAGAAACTGTGCGGCCGAGAGAAAAGCTGTGTAACGTCAAGAATATGAGCACCAGATAGGCAGATGCATGGACTACCAATAAACTTCTTTTGCATATGCCCTTTAATCCCCTTGATTTCTTCCAATGAAGGAAACGCAAATTCTGCGGCCTTTTTCTTACGTCTAGGTTGCGTGGGATACCGTCGTGCAAATGCCAGTGTGATTCAGTGCTTCTGTGGCATCCGCGATCCCCAATACGTGATTCGTAGACCGTGATCAGTGTGTAATTTAACCATTACAGTAACGCTTCACGTTCCCAATATACATCCAAAAATCTTTTCCCATCACTCGAACGTGTTGTTGCGCTTCTCCCTCTTATTTACTGTTGGTACCACAGTCTCAAGAGTGCGAAACTGGACGAACATTCTCCGGCGTATGCCAGGGAAACTGAAGGCCTCATCAATGGTGGCGATAAACACAATTGATATCCCTAAGTAGTAGCTATTCACGTTAGGTACGGCAACACGCTAAAGTCGGTGTTATCACCTGGACTACTGGTACCACGAGCAATTACGCATCCCGTCAACTTCGAACTGCGAACAGCAGCTCTATCTCTACGCATGTGTGGTGATTCGGTCCTACGAGATGACGCATACCCTGGAGCGACGCACTACAGTTTTAAGACAACTGTGATCAATCAAACTTCACAGGCGACGTGAGCAAAGAGCGTACGTGTCACTGCTTCTGGACTACATACCATTGGTAGATTGCACCAGCCAATCAGAGACAGTGCGGCCCAAACAGAAGCAGAACGACGCCAGAAATACTGGAATGCGATCGGCAGAATCCCGGCTGACCAATGAGCATGGTTTTTACTTAGTATTTAATCTCCATTATTTCTTCCAATAAACGAACTACTGCTCCTGTGGACTTTTCCTCCCGTCTCGGTTATGTGGGACATTGTGTACAAGTGCCAGTCCGGTTCAGTGCTTACATGACCCAGTCCGTGATTGTTACTCCTTGATTCGTATTCCGTGATTATTATTGAGGGGTTCATATTCTGTGAAAATTGCATACTACTCCTACTAATAGTTCTACTGTTACGTCTACTATTTCTGCGATCATTGCAGTATGATCGAATATCTTTAACCTCAAATATAGGTCTACATCGCTATCTCCGCTGTCTTGGTGGAAGCGGTTTTATTTCCGATCATAGGCATCAACTTGCTGCAGCATTCCGGTCTTTTGGTACATTTATATCGCCAAAAGTAAAAAGATCGCTAAGGCCACTTTCCTGTAACCGGTTCATACGTCTTCGTGATCTCAGTCAGGCCGATTCATGTCAGCCTGCTATCTAGAG